TAATTCGGCTCATTCGTTGAGTGTTGAGGCTGCTTATATCAATCAGAATTTCTCGCAACAGGTGCTGATAAGAGATGGGAAGAAGTTGAATTATGATGAGCCTAACCCGTTTGCGACTGAAGGGGAAGAGGTGGCGTCGGTTGGTTACAGGTACAGGAGGTGGAAGTTGGATGATGATACCTTTTTGGTGGCGCGATGTGAAGTACAGAGTGTGGTGGAAGTGAACAATCAGAGATCATTCTTGACTCTGAATGCGCTGAATGAGTTTGACCCTAAGTACTCGGGGGTTGATTGGAGGCAGAAGCTCGAGACACAAAGGGGTGCTGTGTTAGCTACTGAGTTGAAGAATAACGCGAATAAGCTCGCGAAATGGACTGCACAAGCTCTGCTAGCTAATGCTGATATGATGAAATTGGGTTATGTATCAAGAGTCCATCCTAGGGATCATTTTAACCATGTAATATTAGCTGTTGTTGGATATAAGCCTAAGGACTTTGCTGCACAAATCAATTTGAACACATCAAACATGTGGGGTATTGTGAAAAGTATTGTGGACTTGTGTATGAAGTTGAATGAAGGGAAATATGTGCTTGTTAAGGACCCAACCAAGCCACAGGTTAGGATTTATGAAGTCCCTCCAGATGCATTTGAGAATGACTATGTTGAGGAGCCATTGCCAGAAGACGAACAGGTTCAGCCTCCTACAGAGGATGCGCAAGGTGCTGAGACAAATGGGGCTGCAAATGAAGTAGAGGACAAGGAAATTAGCACTGAAGCTGCATAAGGGTAATCTGATACTGCACTAGGATAATGATTCTTCCTCTCAATATTAGTTTTCTGCCGTTGAGAATTATTGCTCTTAGATAGTGTGACAGTACTTTACTTAATTATTTTCAGTTTTGCTATTCTAATACAATGATTGCTCTTGGATAATGTTGTCTCTTTTGAAGAAGGTGAGGAAAAAGTTTATCCATATATATAGAGCTCAAAGTGGATTTTTATCTTCACTCTATTGTCTCCTAAGAACCATTTGTTGTGCTAATAGCTGATTTGCTTTCAAACTTTGATATTTGCCTTTTCTTTTTCATGTATTAGCCATGATGTAGAGATGAGAACTGCTTTTCATTTATAGCTTTTAAGCCACATAGTTGCCTTTGAGGTTATGTGAACATATGCGGTTACCGATTAGTATCTTAAGGATATATTCATACTCCACTTTCCTCCCAAGAGTACGGAGTCTCTTAAAAGGAGGAAACTGAATCATATAATTTGTATATTGGATAATAGAAGACATAATAAAATTGGGAACGATGAGAAAATGAAAGTGAATTGAAACACCTTGGTGTCAAGGACACTGTAGCCTGTAGGGTTGGGTTTTTAGCGGAAAAAGGACACTTATGTCAAGCTCTTGTGTGCTTTCAGCTACTTCACTCCCTATTTAAGGAAAAAAGGAAATCCTTAGTTACAGGACTTGACAAGAAATTGCCTTATAAAGATTTTAAAAGGCTATTTGCAATAAGATGGACTTAATGCCGACATTGAGGGATTTTTAGCTATTTGTAATGCATTGTGGCTGAGGAGTTCCTAGTAAGTTGGTTGCAGTGGCCCTTGTAGGGATAGCAGCTTGGTTGTGGGTCAAGCGTTTTGGGGCTGTGTGCTGCATTTGTGTGAACCAATGTACTGCCTGTTGGTTGATGCAGTGAAAACTGGATGTGCCTGGGTGTTGTTGGCCAGAACGATGGGTGTGACAAATAGTTGTAGATGCGCTTGCCAGTTAGCATGGCCAAGGTTAGGAGGTTGTACATGACAGAGGGTGCTTATATGCTTCTTTTACTCTGTAATGAGTTTCGACCAATGATTCATGGGATAAATATAAAATGCAGCTCACGAGTGTTATTGTGCATGTGTTATGCATGGATTTTTGCATTACCTATAGAAGCTATACTGTGGCTGTTTGCCTTCATGCATATGATGTATATTTGGGCCCTACTAGGAGAGTATAGACAGAAAAAGAATGTACTTCTTGGATGCTAAAAGAGTAGCTTAATGCAAAGCTGATAATCAATGCTCTTCTCGAAGCTAGTTATGGACTTCTTGGATCTC